CCCACTCCAGAGGAGAAGAGGGCAGAACATAGCCAACACCTGGCACTAAGCATGCTAAATAGGGAGTCCATTCCTTTTCTGTCTCTGGCTTATAAAATCCCAGTATGGCAGGTTCCTTGGAGCCTATAAGAGTTTTCTGGGCAGAAAAACTTATCTCTAGAGTGAGGTCTGGTAGTGGGAATTGGGTGGCCCCTCCACTTCCCTCTGACTCCCAGACCTGATGGGGAGCCTCCGTATGCTAGCCCTGCCGAGGATCTGTGTGGCTGCTGTCACAGCTGCAAGGGGAGCCCTGGGCTGTCAGTGCTGGACTGCAGGGCTATTATGTTCCACGTTGTCAGGGCTCCCAAAGAGTTTGGAAGGTGGTGCTGGTGTCTTAAAGGGCAAGAGATGGACACAGGCGCCTGCTGGGTGGCTTCTCTGCCTTGCTGCTGTGTTGCAAGGGGCTGGCTGGCTGACTGCACTTCTCCACAGGCTACCCTGTCTCTCATTGCTTCTGATGACACACTGCTCCTCTCTCCCAATGCTTCCCAGTCCTGGGGGCTGCTTGGGCTTGTAAGCTCATGCCTCCCCTAGGTTTCAGGATCTGGGCTGCGTGTGGCCAGGACATCTTCCCCCAGAAGCCCTGTCCTCACTTCTGCCTCCCTCCTCTCCTGCCACCTGAATAAAGGAAGGGGACACACTATAAAGCCATCATTTCATCAACAGCTCACACACTGGGGAGATCAGCTCTCGGGCTCCATATTGCAAGTGAGGAAACTGAGTGAGGCTTGGCAGCTGGCTTCCTGGAAACCCCACCCCCTTGCTCGCTGGAGGGGTTTTGCAAGGATAATGCTTTCTGGGCCTCTCTGACACCTGCCACATGGGAGCCAATTTATGGTGGGTCTTTTTTGGGTCTTTTTTTTTTTCTGAGACAGGGTTTCTCTGTGTAGCCCTGGCTGTCCTGTAACTCACTCTGTAGACCAGGCTGGCCTTGAACTCACAGAGATCTACTGGCCTCTGCCTCTCGAGTGCTGACATTAAATGTGTGGGCTACCACCCCCTGGGCTCATGGTGGGTCTTATAAAACTTCCCTGGAAATTCAGGGTGAGGCTTGGGCTGCTGGGACGGGCTGTGTGCCCCTGCCCAACAGGAGCCTGGATGATCTCATTCCTCCTCCAGTGCAGTTCTGGCCCAGATTCCCACACTTTAGAGCCAGCCTCTCCTGCCCAGACTGTGCACCTGAGCGCCCCCACATGCAGGAGAAAATAGCTCCCATCTCCTCCCAGCCTTCCAGGAATGCGCCCCTGGGGACAGGGCTGCAGGGAGGCAGAGCCCCAGGGTTCTGGTGGCTGGATTTCTCTCTTGGCCACCGGTGTGACCCTTCTGTCACAGCCCGCACACCTCTGGTGCCCATTTGTATTATTAGCCCTGCCAGGTGTCTCAGATCCCACCCTCCTGGCCATCTGGGCCCTCCTTGGAGTTGTAATTGCTGAGCGCAGAGCCAGCAGTGAAACAAAGAACTCGAGACTCCTTCGGAGAGGAGGCTGGAACACCGTCATGTGGTGCATACTCCTTCAGCACCTGAGGGATGAAGTCAGAGCCAGGGTGAGAACCCAGGAGTCCCTGAGGCCAGTGCCTCACCAGAGAAAGCTTGTTTTTGGATGAGGCTGGACTGGGATCCTGCTTGCCTGACGTTTAGTTCAGTGGAGTGTTCCCTTCTCTGAAGGCAGGAGAACAGCATCGGCCCTGCAGCATGAGCCCCACAGGAGGCAGGTGTCACGGAGTGAGGGAGCCCTAGAACCTGAAAATGCGTGGGAACTTCAGGGGCTCCCTCTTCTGGCTCCCACACTTGCCTCGTGCCATCTAACCAGACCTAATTAATCAATAACCAAGCTGTTGCTTTCCTGCCAGCCAGCCACCTGAAGAGTACTTATTCTGTCTATGAATTGATTGCCACACTTTTGCCACCACGACAGAGAATCCCTGTGCCCACAAAGGCTGAGTGCCAAAAGAATGCTGGGACTTCCCTGCCACCCTGCTTGGAGACAGTGGCTCCCAGTGGCCCCAGTCTTGTCGAAGATGGAAGAGAAAGGTGTGGAGGGGGGAGGCTTGAACCTCAGGTTACCAAAGAGATGGCTGTTACCCTGCTGGGGCTTAAGGTACATTCAGATCCTGACTGCCACCACCACAGGAGGGAGCCCACAGCCCTCTAAATCAGGGTCTTGGACATACTGAAGAAGAGGGTCCCCTGTAGCAGAGGACTGTGGCGATATTTTGTTTGTGCTTTAACAGAAAAAGTTTGCCTGAAGATCATAGTGCAGAGTTAGCAACTAGTTAGCCATAGAGGCCAGGCAGTGGTGGCTCACCCCAGCACTGGGGAGGTGGAGACAGGAAGGGATGTGGCTGGGCAGAGAGAGGAATATAAGGTAGGAGGAGACAGGAGCTCAGCCCATTCAGTCTGTGGATTCATACAGACAGGCTCACCCCTTTGGTCTGAGGACTCAATAGAGGTAAGAACTAGTGACTGGCTGCCCTGCTTCTCTGATCTTTCAGCATTAACCCCTGTATCTGACTCTGGTTCTTTATTATTATTAGACCAATTAGAATTCATGCTGCAGTGGACACAGAAAACAGGCGAGGGTTCTGAGGACCTGGGGACCTGGATGCTACCTTAAGGTGCTAAAATGAGTGGGCCTGTGGTTCCTACCATAGTGCCTTTGATTGACAGCTCTACCCCATCTAGAATCGCCTGTGTGACAGACATCTGGGCATGCCTGTATGGATTATCTCTTTATTTTGTTTATTAAGACAAAATCTCTCTATGCAGCCCTGTCTGTCCTGAACCTCCCTATACAGACCAGGCTGGTCTCAAATTCACAGAGATCCTCCTGCCTCTGCCTCCTATGTGTTGGGATAAAAGGAGTGTGCCACCATGACCACCTGTGGGGATTATCTTGATTGTGTCAGTTGAACTGGGAAGATGACTGACTATGAGTGACAACCATTCCTTACCAGGGATCCTGGACTGTGTAAGTGAAGAAATGGAGCTGAGAGGCAGCCTGCATTCATTGCTCTCTGCTTCCTGATTGGGGACATGATACACAGCAGTGGTTCTCAACCTTTCACAGGGGTCTCCTAAGACCCTAAGAAAACACAGGTATTTGTACTATGATTCACAACAGTAGCAACATTACAGTCATGAAGTGGCAACAAAAGTAATGCTATGGTTGGGGGTCACCACAGCATGAGGACCTGTGCTAGAGGGTTGCAGCGTTGGGAAGGTTGGGAACAGCTGTGGCCTGCCCACCATGGTGGACTGCTCTGCGAACCGTTTCTCCCTTAAGCTGCCTTCGTCAGGGTGTTTAAAGTCTTTCTTAGACCTCCTTATTTTGTATGTGTGTAAATGCTTTGTCTGCATGCATGTATGTGTTCATGTAGGTCAGAAGAGGGCATCAGATCTCTGGAGCTGGAGTTATTGATGGTTGTGAGCTACTGTGTGGATGCTGAGAACCAAACCCAGGTTCTCTGAAAGAGCAGTGAGTGCTCTTAGCTGCTGAGCTATCCCTCTTGTCCCTTTGCAGGGCATTTTACCACAGCAATAGGAAAAGAAATGAAGACAGTGGCCATCTTTCAGATGGCTTCCAGAAGGTCCCAGATTGGAAACGTCCTGACCCAAGTGGGCAGGACATCACAGGCACCCACAGCACAGGCCACAACGTACACCTGCTTCTTTCTGCCGGTTTTGAACCTGACTCTACTTCCTGACTGGTCTCCATCTCCTGGAATCCACACACACATGAAAGAAACGTAGACTCACACTGCCGCGCCCCCACTCACGCTGCCGCGCCCCCCCCCCACTCCAGGCAAAGGAGGGAACTGGTTGGAGGCTTCCCTCCCCCACTCCACACCTCTGCACCCTTCTTCTCAATCCTGGTCAAAATATGGAAAGACACACAGGCGAGCTGTGTCTCATAAAAGCAGGACAAGGGAGTGTGGGTAAGATGGATAGGAATGATACAAGATGCAAATGCAGTCCGAAAATGTCATATACATAAAACACCAGAAGGGGGCGCTGACAGCCGCATGGGGTAGCTAATGGCTTTTCCTCGTGGCGGCACAGAGCCCGCTATGAAGAGACACAGGATGCGAGGCCCCAACAGGGCCCCCAGGTGCTGCCTGTGCCCCTGTTATGTCTCATCACCTTCAGGCCTCACTCTGCCCTGTCAGCCTGCTCCCACCCTCTGGTGCCATTCCTATGGCCAGTATTCATTTTATTTAATACTTGAGACAGGGTTTCTCTGTAGCTTTGGAGACTGTCATGGAACTCACACAGTAGATCAGGCTGGACTTGAACTCACAGAGATCCACCTGCCTCTGCCCCCTGAGTGCTGCGATCAAAGGCGTGCGCCACCACCGCCCAGCTAATGGACTGCACACTGGGCACTGCTGTGAACCCCTAGCCATGTCTGGCTCATCTAAGCACCCCAAGGTCCACAGGTAGCTTGGGAATGAGGACTTCTCATAAAGCAACACAGTTATCTACTGAATGGACAAACTTCCTGGATGGTGCAGAAACCCCTGCCCTCCCTGGCATTAACACCCACGCAAGCTCCTCCAATTACATCAAAGATTGGGTATCTTGACACCAGGTCACATTTGAAGCAGGTGACTTCCTTGAAACCAGGTGGCATCCTGAGAACAAGGTTATATCTAGTGCCAGGTTGACATAAGTATTCCAGGAATCAGGTGACAATCCAGATGTCAGGGGACATTCAGGTACCAGCTGACATCCCAGGAAAGAGGTGATCTCTAGGTACCCAGGTGACATCCTAGGTAACAGGTGACATCCCAGGTATCAGATAACATTCCTGGGACCCAGGTAACATTCTTAGAACCAGGTGACATTTCAAATATCATATAATATCTTTGAAAACCAGATATTCCTAGAAACAGGTGACATCCAGTTACCAGGTGACAACAGTCCAGGAAACAGCTGACATCCCATTGGCCCTGGGCCTTACCTGCCGATGACTTCTATGTTGGAGATGGCGTAGAAGTACTTGTAGAGGTTCTCCCGCTGGACGTAGGTGCCACCCAGTGCAGGGCGGAGCAACCGCATGCGCAGATCAGTGAAGGTGAAGAACTCCTTGAGGCCCTTAGCGCTCTCCAGCCTCGTGTACAGGTTGTCCATGTTGCGCAGGTCAGGGCCGGCAAAGATGGCAAAGCGGTCCCTTACCTCGAAGCGCACATGCTTCTCCTTCTTGGACCCTGCCCAGCGTGAGTACTCCTCCGTGCAGAGCACCCGGTGGGCACTCGAGGGTGACATGTCTCGGGCTCGGCGGGCGGACATGCCGAAGGCCTCCATGCAGTCCTCCGCATAGAACTGGTAGGGCTGCCAGGTGCGGCCATTGTCCAGGGACTTCTCGAGGACCATGACAGTGGGCCGGCCATACTCGAAAGTCATCACCACATCGTCCGTCAGCTCCACACTCTTGTTCCAGGAGAGGGTGATGTTGGCTTCCAGTGGACTGGGGTAGCGACTCCACGTGACACTTTGCCAGTAGGTGGCCAGTCCCTCATCTTCCCTGTCAAACATAAGCCGGGGTGGGTGGGCCAGGTCGGGGTTGGAGGCATCGCACTCGTTACTGCACAGGTAGGGGTTCTCCTGTAGAGGAAGAGAGACAGGAAGCAGGTGCTGGTCACTGGGAAGGGCCTGTGCATGCTTGCCCAGTGCCTAGCCATCTGCTGGCCATCACCAAGCCCCAGGTACAGGCAGTGGGAAGTGCCTGTCCCACACAGATAGCAGGTGCCTGATAATAAGATAATGGGTCGGGGTGGACAGAAAGCTGGACTCTTAGATAGTCTGTCCTTTCGACTATGTGTTCTACAAGCCCATCGCTGCTCTGGATTGCAGACCTATTAATTAACAAACAACAGACCCTGCCACTGACAGCCGCGCAGTGCCGCAGTCCACACACAGCTACTTTGATGAATATTTCAGGTGTCTGTGCAGAGACAAAGTAGCTTGGATCTGAGTTAAAAACCTCTCACTCTCTAATGAGCCACGAGGCCCCCGAGGGGGGTGGACACACTGCCACCATCCCCGGCCACCCTGGCCAGCAACGCTGCAGTTAGCCACTGGTCATGGGCTTTGATCCTTCACAGCAACGGGCTGGTGCCTGGCTGCCCAGAGCTGCCCAGTGAGCACAGCTAGCCTGGGGGGGTTCTCTAAGGCAGGACCTACAAAGCCCTGATGGACCAAAATAGCCCTGTCCATACTCGCCTTGTGGTGCCAAAATCCACCCTCCCTGCCTGGCCCTGCTGATGGGTGGGACTAGAAGCCTTGGGGGTACAAGCATTTTCCCACCAGTCTGGCATCTTACTGAGTAGAGTGGGAAACTGAGGCCCAGAGAAGGCAAGATAAACCCAGGCCTTCTCAAAGGCATTGCAAGTACTTCTGAGGAGAACCCAAGCGCTATCAATCCTCCCTCTCCTTCTTTCTAACCCTCCCCTTTGTCCCCTCCCCTCTCCTTTCTCTCCCCCCCCATCCTACGCTGCCTCAGTGATACCCCCTTCCAAGTCTGCACGCTTACAAGCACAATGACAAGGGAGATTTTTGTTACTTCTGCTGGTGTCTCATGCTGTTGGCCTGAATGGGAAGGGTCTGAGTGACCTCCATAGGCTCGATGACAAGCAGAGGCTAAGCTAATCCCAGTGGCCAGGAGAAGGGAGCAGGCTGCTGGGCTGGTGGAGACTGGCTGACCATGAGGTCACCACCAAAGCCCCTGCCACAGGTAGCATGAAGGATATTCTGAGCCCAGGGCCAAGTACAGCTTCTGGTGCACTGGGAAGCGGAATGGCGGGCACGTGCTTATTGTTTGCACGTGAACGAGGGACCCGCAGGACAGCTGATCCAGGCCGGGCGCTCTCCCATTCCCTTTCTCCTGTTGCTCTATGCCTCAGCTGTGTCCCCTCAAATTCATTTGTTAATGCCTAACGCTCAGCAACCTCAAAAGGGCAGTAGCTGTACTTTGAGACAGTCTTTAAGATGAAAGAGTTGGCGGGCGGTGGCGGCGCACACCTTTAATCCCAGGACTCAGGTGGCAGAGGGAGGTGGGTCTCTGTGAGTTCAAGGCCAGCCTGGTCTACAGAGCGAGTTCCAAAGAAACCGTGTCTCAGAAAAAAGAGTTGAAGGACCCCTTCTGGTGGTCCTTCTTTTGAGAAAGAAGAGGGGCTCACGCAGAAGCACTGGGGACAATTGTGCACACACCTGGAGGAAAGACATGAGACAGACGGAGGTGGCCACACACACCAGAAGGAGGGAGGCTGCAGGAGGAACCACACCCCAGCACCTTGATCTTGAGACTGTGAGACAGAAGCGTCGTTGCTGGAGAAGTCAGGTCCTGGCAGGCTCATCTAGTGAGCCAAACGGGAGGGGTGGCAGCTCAGAGGGGTGTTGCTGACCCTGAGTTTTCCAGGGTGCTCTCAGGGACTCTTTGGGCCTTTTCCAAAGCCTTGTTTTGTTGTTTTTTACCCTCCTCCGAAGGCCATGTCCTTTCCCAGGCCACCTGATCCCTGGGTAATTTTATTAATGTCTGCCCATCTCATATTGACTGTTGATATTCCTGTGGCACACAGCTCCCCCCTCCCCAGCTGCTGTGAAGCTCTGTACCTCCCCTTTTCCCTGGACCTTTACCACCAGTCTGGGGTTGGGGGTGGGGCGGCAGGGACAGGGTTCCTCCAAGCCATCGTTGAGAAGAAGGTGGGTCCAGGGGCTTTGCCAGGGTCTAGGGAGTCCATCCTGACTAAGGATCCATGCTGCCCAACCTGCAGGGCCTGCCAGCCCCCTATCCCAGCCCCTGGGAAGCAGGTGGCGAGACACTAATGAATCAGTCTGTGTATTTACCAGGCTCATGCTGGCTGCAGAAAGGGCTTTGCCAGTTACGAGCGAGCGCAGCAAATAATCCCAAGCCATGGCCAGCACAGTACTCTCGTCTCCTCGTCTCTTCCTCCCACCTCACAGCCACAAGATCTCAGCATCCTGCATCACCAAGGAGGCACGGGCTGTGGCCACATCGAGCCAACCCCTTTCTGAACACGCCTTGGCTGTCTTTCCATGCCACAGTAGGGAGAACTCCAGGGGAGTTCCAGCCGGCTCCACCCCCACTGGAGCGAGCAGAGGGACAGCTGAGGACAGCGGGAGGCAGCAGTGACTTTGCCAGCCTTCTGGGTCTCCAGCTTCCATGACTACGGAGCAGATTAAGTGTTAGTGAAAACAGCCAAATGAAGCCATCTGACAAGGACAGCCAACACCAGGCGACTTTCGGGCACCCTTTTACCTCGCAGAAGGGAACCCAGGCTAATCACTGATGCTATCGAAACCAGCACTTGCTTCTCTGGCCACTTAGTGATTAGCACCCCAAAACGAGTGCACAAACCCCTGATTTTAAAGACCTTAGAGGGGGAAAACCCCTTAGGGACTTGGGGAATGGTTCAGTTGGTAAAGTGCTTGCTGTAGGGACTTAAGTCAGAGCCCGAAAAAGGCTCTAACTGTGGAAGCAGTGGCAGAAATATCCCCGGGACGCACTGGCCAGCCAGCCTCGATTAACTGGGAGTTCTAGGTCAATGGACACCTTGTCTCAGAACCAAGGTGTACGGTGCCTAAAGAGTGACACCTGAGGTTGACCTCTAGGCTCTACTCATATGTGCTCACAAAAACATGCACACACATACTGCAGTCACCCACCACATACATTTACCATACCCTGGAGCACTAAGTCTGTGTTAGAAACCCCTTTTAAGAGTATGGGGCCATTAAGGAAAACTGGCCCTCATGTCTAAAAGCCCTAAGTTCAGCTCAGCTGTACCTGCTGGAGGTTTTGTGACCTTGAGGAAGCCACTTGTGTTTTCTGAGTCTCTGCTTCCTTGTCCTGTGTTCTGTGAGATAGAGTGTATGAGAAACCCAGGTGATGTCACCATACGGTAGTGACAGTTTTACATAGCTGATTCCTGCATGTCAGCTGGAGTGAGGGGTGACCCGGCTACCTTACAAGGGAAGGAGATGGAGGTAGATGCTGGGCACCGGGGGACTGCATGACACAGACGACTTTAGTAACAGCTAGTCCAGGGAGCACAGTGATGATGGGCTCGGGGCAGATGTTGTATGGTCACTAAGTACATACCAGCCCGCTGTCGCTACCCGTGGAGAGGACGGGACTGACTTTGGAGAACGCTGGGGAATCAGAGTTCAGCATCTCTGCAGTTTTCCACCAGCGGCACAGAGCACCGGGGTGGGGTAGGGTGGCATGACAGGTCTCTTGCAAGGTCTTTAAGCAGGAGATGACTGGTGAAACCATTTTTTTGTGCAATGCTTGAGCACTTTTGACTCTTTGGTGATTTTGCTTTTCTGTTATTTTTGGGGCAGGAGTCAGAGTCCAGGTGGCAAACACACTGGCAAACTCTGGGTGGAAAGCGTAGTGGAGCAGGAAGTTACGTGCTGCCAAGCACAGCAGCCCTCATCTGGGAAAGTCCAGCCAGCGAGTCTCCAAACCCCTAGCCCAGGGGTCCTCACAGGCCTCTTGGGTCTTAAGCAGCCTATGTTCAGGTGGTCTATGTCATGGAGTCCCCAGGTGCTCAGCATCTCCCAGAATCCACCTCATCTCCCTCCCACTCCAGCTGACATGCAGGAATGGGCTGTGCAGAACTGTCTCTACTGTGTGTTACCATCACCTGGGTTTCACACAGAACACAGGACGAGAAAACAGAGGTTCAGAGAAGTCAAGTGGCTTTTTCAAGGTCACCAGAATTGGAACTGTCTGGGGTAGAGAAAAGGATGGCTTCATACCAACTGGGCTTGAAACCCAAGCCTGTGTGGGAACAAATTCTCAGTCACTGCCCACAATATGGGCTGACTTGGTGCTTCGAGAAAGGGCTTTCCAGGTAAGTCTGTGGTGGGCTAGGAGGGGCAGATGATCCTCTCAGTCACAGGCAAGCTTCCTGAGTGTGGATGAGTTTTCAACTTTTTCAGACCTGCTGGGTTTCAATACATGCTACCTCAGACTATGTATTTTTATTTATGTTTTCTGTGCTGTTGTTGTATATGTGTGTGTGTGTGCGTGTGCGTGTGCGTGTGTGTGTGTGTGTGTGTGTGTGTGTGTATGCATGTCTACACGCTTACATGGAGGCCAGAAAAGGGCATCAGATGCTCTGGAGCTGGAGTTACAGACGGTTGTGAGCTGCCAGTGTGGGTGCTGGGAACTGAACCTGGGTCCTCTGTAAGAGCAGCCAGTGAGTGCTCTTAACCACCAAGCCATCTCTCCATCTCTCCAGCCCCCTTGAACTATTTCAAGTGGAAAGAATTTGAGAAAGTTCTGTGCAGTAAGGTTACTCCTGGCCCTTCTCTTCAGCAGCTTGTGAGGCCTTCACTGAGGAGGGGCCTGTGTTGGGAGAATTCTAAGGACACGGGGTATCAACAAAGAGTCTGAGCACCCAGGCCTTGCTGAGGTCCCCTGGTTTATGAACCTCCATCAGGCCTCTTACCCAGTTTTTCTCTTCCATCTCTCTTATTAACTCCCTCACACCAAGCATAGATTCAAGGAGCTCAGCAGTTGGAGGCACTTGCCCTGCAAGTCTTATATGCTGAGTTCAAGCGCCAGAACCCCCATA